CGCCCCGCCCCACCCCGCGGCTCCTAGCGTGCGGGCGGCCGCGGCCCCGGGCGCCACCGCGAGGCCCCCGGGCCATGCGGGCCCCGGCGGCCCGGCTGGCCAGCAGCGCTTTGGTAATCTCATTCTTCTTCACGGTACGACGCATACTGATGAGAGCCGCGCACCGCCTGCACCCGGGGGCCTCGCGGGCCGGTAATGACCAGGATCGGACAGAGAGAGCTGCCTTTCGACCACGCCGTCATGGGAGTTTCTGCGCGCGCGAGGGCGAGGGGGACGCGCTCGCGATCTAGTCGGGTATCTCCATAACCGAGCGTCTCTCTTGCGCTCTTATGAATTCCATGGGCAATCACGTCTGTCTGTCTGCCTGCCTGTCTGTCTGACTGTCTGTCCGTCCGCCCGTCCGTCTGTCTCGCTTTCAGTCCGCCCCTTCCCCCCTTTACCGCGCCCAGTGGACTTAGTCGCGCCTGACGGACAGAGACTACATCGCAAACGGGAGGCAGAGCAGAGGCGGAGGAGGAGGAGGAGTAGAAGGGTTGGTCGGTGGTGGCACTGAGTGCACGCGAGGTCGCTGACCCCCCGGGCCGGCCGTGCGGCCACTGGCCATCGATTTACCGCCGCTCCCTTGTCGCGCCCTGTGTTAATGTCGTGTGTCGTCGGCGAGGACAAGGCAGGCGCTGCAGCCGCGATAGCCAACCGGCCGGCGGCAGCGGCGTCACGACAAGCCCTATCCCGCCAGAAATCCCCGAAATGCGAACGCTTGTGAAGGTGTCACGGGCGCCATTGATCCGACGTGAGCCCCGCCCGCTCAGCTATAACTGACAGCTGGAGGGAGGGCCGAGCAGAGCTCGTGTCAGGCTGCTAGACCTGAAACCATATCCGTTTGCGAAAAGAACAAAAATAGTGGTCGGGCGTCTCTGTCACGGTGAGATATATAGAAATCTATCCGATAGGGGTGAGTGCAAACGTTCAGAACTACCGTTTCGAATGGTGACTGGACACCTAGTGAAGGGAGCTTCTTGAAAAAAAAAAATGGAAACAAGTAAAACTTATTAAAACAATATTAAAATAGAATGAACAAAAATAATCATTTTTTGGGGTTGCAAAGGTTCATAACAATTTTTAACAATTTTTTTCGGCTACGAGTGGTGCTTACAAAATTTTCTCCACATCTCGCTCGGGGACCGGCCGGGCCGCACTCACTCGGCACGATTACGCGCCCGCACGTCCTGTCATTACCGCTCGGTTCGTGTTTTGAAGGGCTCGCCGGCCGGGCGCCGGGCCGGGCAACATGGCCTTGACTAGCGCCCTGGGCCGCTGCGAGTTGTACCGTGTGTTCGATTAGCCCGTCGTGCCGAGCGGGAGGTGGGGGGCACACGGCGTGTCCTTGATAATCTTTCAAGGCCGCGTGACAATTTACAAAAAAAAAATACGCACTCACCCAAAAAACAAACACATACATTAACGGTCCTGAAAGATAATGTCGTCGTCGTTATTGATTGCACGAGCCGTAAAGAAATGCGAGTGGGGAAACGGGACGTGAAGAAACCCAGCCAACTGGAGGCAGCCCGGCTGCTGACCCCCACCTCGTGCGCGCACGGCACGGCACGGCACGGCTGCACGCGGAGAGAGAAAGAGAGGGAGAGTGTTGGGCTTTTTTTATGGGTTTTTGCATACCAGTATATAGAAACACGCGCGCTCTCGTCTTCAGCAGCAAAAGGGAGCGGAACATCTCAATTAGGAGCAAGGATAGTCGCGTGGCAGAGGTGGAGTTAGCCCGAGAAGGGCGCACCGGAGGCGCCGTCCTTGCGGCGGTGGGACGGCAGAGCAGAGCGTTCGGGCGGGGCCGCGAAGGCTGACGGCTGACCCCGCCCCCCGACGACGCCCGCCCACGCGCGCCCCACTTGGCCACGCGGCCCTTTCCTCCCCTTATCATTCGCATTCCTTGACGCAACCCTCCCAGTGAAGGCGCCGGCCGCGTCGGGGGCGGCGGGTGCGGCGGCCACGCTTCCACGACGAGATAAGAACGCGGCGTATTGATCCCCTTCACCTGCTGCCTCACGGCGGCGGCCCGGGCCGGCCGCGGGCCCAGCACCGACCGGCCAGGCGCGCTCGCGCTTTTATCGGTCCAGCTGGCCCGGCCCCGCTCAAGGCTCCTGCCCGCGCCTTACGCGCGCGCGCGCGGAGGTGACCTGATTTTTAAAAAAGAAACAATTTAATTTGCATCCACGGAACGCGATAAGCGCAGCGGGGGCGTGGCGTGACCAGGACCAGAAGGGCGCAGGGCTGGTCACTACTTCCGCACAGTTCGGGGGCGGCGACATTGGCGCACCAGAGGGCGCTATGCGGAGCAGTGAAAGGCCCAGTGTAGTATTAAGTACAGGGGGTTTGTCACTGTCGCTCGCGGACAACATCCTGGTGACCCGACCACAGCGGGAGGCCGGGTCACGGCGGGGAGGGGCACACTTGGCGCCCAAGGAAGCGCTGCCCGGCGGCGCTCGCGGGTCAGCGACCTCCCCGGTAGCCCCCCCGCCGCCGAGGTATGCGCGAACCGCCTCATGAAAAATGGATGACCAGGGCGGGGGTAGAGACGGACTGTACGTACGGGCGCTAGGGGTGGGCGCGCGGCCGCGAGGCCCAGCGGGGTCGATCACCCCGCACAGCGGGGCTCGCAAACGTTTTAAGCAGACAGGCGAGCTGGGCGGGGCCGGCCGCTCGTCTTGCCCCGCCACCCTTAGTTCCGGGTGGGCCACAAACACACGGAGCGGACAGCGGGTGGGGTCACCTGGCGGGTTCACTGACCGAGGGGTTGGCGGGCTACGCACCTGCTGTCCACGCCCGCGGGGCCGCCGCTGGCGCAGCTGTTGGTGGTGCCGCTGCCGCCGGCGCGCAGCTGGCGCAGCATGCGGTGGTGGAGCCGCTGCAGCCGCTGCAGGCGCTGCTGGTGGTAGTTGGGGTCCTTCTCGCTCTGCGTGCGGTACATGGTGCCCGGCCGGTTGACGCCCCACTTGGGCCGCTCGCCGAGCGGCGGGTGGCCGCGGACCGCGCGACGCCCCGACCCGGAGCCGGTGCCGCCGCCGTTACCGCCGCGCCGCCGCAGCCCCGCCGACGTCTGGGTGGCCACCTCGCGCAGGCGGCGCCGGAACTTGGTCGGGGTGAGCAGCCGCGCCGCACCCGGGGCGCAGGGCTCCCCGCCGGTGGCGGCCGCGGGCAACTGCGACATCAGCATCGCCATCTGCCGGGCCAAAGCAAATCCGTGAAGTGGTTGACGAGGCAGGCAAAGGCAACGCGAGGGGTCCTTCACTCAACAAAATCAGTGTACACCATTAGAAAAAATCACGAAAAATCATAAAAAGTCATGAAAGAATCACTTAAAAATCACAAAAGAATGGACGAAAAGTCAGAAAAAATCACAAATAATCACAAAAAATAAAGGGAAAATAATCGCAAAAAATCAAGAAAAAATCACAAAAAATCAAGAAAAACATAAAAATCGGTGTACGCGACAATTTATAGTGAAGGACCCCTAGAGGCAACGCCATGGCGGCTGATCGGAGGCTACCTGCGGCGCCGTGAGCACGCGTCCGGCCGCGTGGCCGGGGTACATGGTCGACACGAGCGCGGGAGAGCCGGCGTGCCCCGGCGTGTGCTCCCTGGGTCCCAGCGCACCGGCGGGCAGGACGAGGGCGAGGCCGTGGGGTGGGCCGCCGACAACAGACGGTCCTAACCTGAAAAGAAGAGATCAGCGTCAGACACTTCTGTGATCGCAATAAAAAGATGCGCTCAATGGGAACCTGCCTGCTCCAGCGCCTGCCACAGGTCGGGTAGGCAGTCCCGTTACACACGGCTGCAGTGCGGGTCTGCCTGCTCCAGCGCCTGCGAGGGGCTGGGTAGGCAGTCCCGTTACAC